AAAAAATCTGTTTGTTTAACCTGAAGTTTTCAATACGGCTTATACTGGGTATCAATTTAGATTATTGTAATAAGAACATCAAAAATAGATAATATCTCTCTTCTACAAGATTTATGTCGGAGTATATAAGATGGACGATACGACGGTCTTGATAATCGAAACATTGAAAAGTGTATACCTAATAGTTTTTTTTTTTTAATAAGTTTTCTCTTATGTACATATTTTTATTGTTGGCTGTTATATATGAAGTATTTATAAGTAGGTACCTTGCTATCAGTTTGAATCGGATCTAAAAACGATTACCACTCTGGGAAAATCAATTTTCCCAAGTTTATGGACTTGTACGTCCTACGAGTTAGTGTTTTTTTTTTTTTTTAAGCGGGAGTTGTGACGCCTCTTCCTCTCTGTTAATCCATGTAGCATAGAATTATTACATGAATTAAATGATAAAGGGATATTTATTTTATTTTATAATTAACCAGCTGCCCACTCGTATTTCAGATAATTTTATTATAATAACAAGTCATATAATATTTGATTAATGGCAACCCTATCGGTAACAAAAAAAAGTAGGTATTCTATTTAAATGAGCTGAAAAAAATGCATATGTAAGATTGAAATAAACTATTAATATTATTATCTAAGTGTCGTGGAATTTATTGTTACAACTTTCTAATGAAAACAGTCTAGTAGTTTTTGAGTCAATAAACTTTGGATACATCAACGCAGTATTGATCATTACGCTACCTATCTGTCGTGTAGTAACCACCGACCATAATACTAACCGTGACGGATTTATTTTTCGTGTACTCTGTAAAAAAGTTTCACTTCAATATTTATAAATAAGACAATCATTACGAAATTCTAGTAACGCCACTGATACGAATGTTGAATATTCAATTTTGATCTTTCAAAAGTGTCAACTAGATTCACTTTTCTGTCAGAAAAGATGCTTATGACGAAAATTGGAGCATTTACATACACACATTTTTGACAATAGTGAATAGAATACATTTTTTTATTCACTACGCTCAAAATCTAAAATGTAAAATATTACGAAAAATATGAATAAGTTTGTTACACGTTTATTATAGCTAAGGCAGTTTTTTTCTATGGTACCTATGTAAAATTAATATAGTTAATGAATTTGAAATATTGTAACAACTCGCTTAACCTTGGTACAATTTGAAAAAGTACTGTGTACAGTTGCATGCCTCGTGGATGGCCTTCATCCTACACTTGATGAAGCACGTGTCTTCATTGCTGCTCTTGTGAAGCAGTGAGCTGAGATTTTTTGCCTTTGTTTTGTACAAATAACACTGGCCATTCCAATCGTCAAGACGGTTGAGTGAATCATCTGCCTCTACCTGGGCCACGCTTACCGATATCTGCGTGATGCGATCGCGTACTGCATGGACCTTGTAGGCAGACGCCACGTCCGGAGCACCATCGGGAGGATGTACCAACACCTGTTCGGAAAAAAATACAGTTAATAAAGCGTATTTTACACCTCTGTTTAAAAATCGATTTGAACTTTCAATATTATTATGGTAACACATGAATTACATACATACTATGACGATAATATACGGAATATAGTTAGAGTTAAAGACTGTATAACTTACAGTTGTTATGGTTTTTTACCATAAACGTTCTTATAGAGTAAATTATAATATTCACCGTCTAAAACGAAAATTGTTTTTATKAAAATTAGTGTAGATCAAAGAACATTGACTGTATAAATTATATGTTGATTTATAAAATGTTAATTTTAAATGAATAAAATATATAATAATATGTACATTGTTATTTAATTATGTATAACAATTAATAAGTGGGATAACATTATGAATATTATATTGAACTATCTAAGAAGTAAGAACAATACTGAAGCAGAGATTACTAGATCAGATACCTTCCTTACTAATTCATATATAACACGATTTAATCATATTTTAGAATTAGTTTGAAATGTTTTTCAATTGTATATGGCCTATATAAAATTAAAATTAATAATACAATAAACATATTTAAATACCTAAGTTGTATTTATTCTTTATTAATATGTGGATAACAGTTATATTTTAAATTCTAAGCTGAGAGATGAATGAGTATTTATTAGTTTTCTAATTAGCCATGTGTTTTTCATATTATTAGTTTTTTTCAAAGACACTTTTCATCATAGAAAAAATGAAGGGATGGAAAGGGAAATGTTTGCGCAAACACGGTTATAGAGAAAATCGAAGTATTTTATTGTTTTAGAAATGAATTCATCAAACTGTAGAGTTTTTCACCAATATTTTCTTAATTTGATATTATAATTTTTCGATTATTTCGACTCTTTTTAAGACTTCTTCACTCAGAATCGTTTTTCATGGGTAATGATTTATCATTGAATTCAATTTTAGCATATCCTTTACAATATTTTGCTCAATAATTACCGTAAAGCAGAGCGGTACCCACTTAACCCCATTATTTATATTTAATAGTGCTAACACTACTGTTTCTGTTTTATTTTTTGTATATTATAGGTACTATGCTAGTGTGCCATCAGGCCAAATTGTTTTATTTTTATTTTATTTTAAGTCAACAGGGATATATAATATATTATTGTTCAAAATCAATTTCTTAATTATTTAAAACTTTAACTCGAAACAAATATAATCTTAATGTAATTAAGATAACATCAGATTTACATCAGAGATGTAAGGGTACACCTAACCAGCTACTTACGTTAAAGCCTCTCCTACGGTAGTCGGTTGGAAAAAATTCATTGCTCATATTCTTCATGATTAATTTTAGTCCGGTATGTTTGCCCGCGGCATTGTTCCGAAGTGGAATGAGTATTCCATCTCGTCCATCAAATGGTGGGTGAATATTGCTTTCGTTGCTATAATAAAAACGATAATGGTTATTGTATGTGCATAATAGAGATAATATACGAAAGATTACTAATCATTGATGTCTAAAAACAATGTTACTACTATTAAATTGTTTCAAGTTTATCACTTATTAATATTTGTTAGGCAACCTCACTGATTACGTCTACATACAGGTCTGACTTGGAGTAGATACTAGATATAGGTAACTTTAAATATGACGCAGAAGAATGAGAATCAATCTACAAAAAGGAAACAGGATTATATAACTTATTAATGGAGACGGGCTCGATATTATGGAAAAAACGAATCGCTCGAATGTTTATGAGACGATAAGTCACGCTTACCTATTACTATACCGCAAATGTGTAACAGTTCCAAAGCTTTCATATAATTTACTTAAACGTACGTTTCTCCAATCCCCCTCTCCTCCACTGTAGATTTAAAAAAATTGTATTTTCATAAATATTTATATTTTGAGTTTTAAATTTCTATAAATTTTTATGGATTTATTTTGTGAATTTTAAATGAAATTTTAAGACATAAAATCAGTAAACCTTCAATCGAAAACCATATATAAAAAATAATTAACCGAACTTATACAGTACAAATATATGTTTAGCTACAAGTATTTTCAAATCCAGTAGGTATAATCGAAATTTTTTACTTAATTGTTCTAGATCAGAAGAATAAAAATCGATCTCATCTTCGTAACTAAAGTATTTAAAAACAACAGGTCAACAGGAAAATTGTATACAGCATATATATAACACAGATTTTGAATAAATACCAATTAAATTTCACTAACATAATAAAGCATACATATTTAAACACACCATACTGGGATCTAGAAAGATTAACGCACAGAGAAATCAAAATATACTATTTAATAGATTCATAAATTTGTGTATGATTATAATAAATAATTTGTGGGATAAAATTTTTATGAGTTGAAGATATCTACGTATATTGATTCCTCAAAAGGCAAACATAGTGTCCAAATTGCAGGTATAATATCTAAAAATTTAAACATCTATGCATATAAATTCCAAATACCACTCACTTACTCACATGAAATTTTAAAAACTACAAAATTTCAAGTTCTTACGTATTTGTTTGATTATATTTAAATACATTGCATGTTCTATTGGACATGGAAATTGTTCTTATCCTAGCTTTATATTATATTTTTTTCTATAGTTTATAGTCACCATGAATTTAGTTTTAACTTGTAGCTTATATAAGTAAGTTAGTKGTATTTACTTTGTACTCCTCTCGGCTGTTTGGCTATTGAATGAATAACAAAACCCTTGTTCTGTACGTTGAAACCGCAGGATATCCTTGCATTTGTACGTCACTCCTCTCCAAAAGCATTTTATAAATATATCTTCGATGGATGGTGCCAACTATATATTACAAATTATTTGCAATGTGTTAGTAGCCACACGTTAAAACATAAAAAAAAATCAAACGACGATACGGTAAAAATTACTATTTACGTCTTCTATCTACTACTTGCAGTAACTGTGGATCGGCTGCAAGAGGGGGCCACAGTTTTAACAGGCCACAATTTAAGAAAATATATGAATGTATGCACTGTTGGTTAGGATGGTAAATCACAGATAATCTGTTGTAGTGTTGTTGTTCCATAAACCATTTTAGAGTACACGCCATAAATTACCAAACTTGCTTCTGTGTACATTATGAAGTAGGTAGGTACACTGACATTTTTTAACTCATCATCACTGCATACAAAATTCTGACACAGTACTGTTGATTTTAGATAAGAATATGAATTTCATAGCCTCTAAAACCATCTCTGCATTTTTAACGAACTCATTGCATGACTTGTTCCTATAGGTAATAATCTACTTTTTATTTTGACCAATTTTTGTATGGCAAACATACAAAAAATATCTACATATGAACGACAATTTTACCGTGCACAAATAATGTACACATGGCAGTCAACGTGTTAAGAAATTTTTTAATTATCCATTATTGTTCAATATATTATACCAATATACCTATCCATAATTTTATTATCGTCAGTGTTATCAAATATGATCATATGGATAATTTTAGTTAACCTACTAGGTACTTATGGAGTCATGTCAAGTAAAAAATATGTTAATTTAGAGATAACCCCTATAGCTCCAATAACCAGTGTATATAGATGTAGAATAGGTTTTTTTTTATTATACATCGATATATTTATCTTATGCGAACGTCTATTTTAAACGACACAAGATTTAATGTCAATGAACATAATTTGTAAACGTATCTATATAATTATCAATTTTAATTCAAATAAGTAACATTTATTTTATTTTTTTTAATAATCAAGAATTCAAAGTTTTTTTACATAACTTTTGCATTTTTATAATGTAAATAACTATGCATTGTTTACGTATTTGTTGGTGTAGTTATACAATTTTTGTTGTAGTTGTCAACACTGACATTATTATTATTATTATTATTATTATTATGTTTTCATATAGGTATACACCGTCAACTGCCATATTGCTTGGTATCTTTGTATCATCGCATTGTAAATAATTGTCAATTATAATAAAACCACATAAAACATGGCGCTGTGGTTAAACTTGTTTGTCGATTGCTATAATTTGTAAATACACTACAAACTCAAAATGGATTCAAAAATACCAAAAGAAATTAACTTCAGCGGCAATATTGAAGCCAATTGGAAAAGCTAGAGACAACGACTGTCACTATATCTACTAGCAAGTAATCGTGACACGTGTTCGGACGAAACAAAAACTGCGATACTACTCATGTTACTTGGAGAAGAAGGCATCAATATTTATAACACATTTGATGAAAAGCAAATCTATGACGAGAAGAAAGTCCYAATATTTCAAAAAGTAATTGCGGCATTCGATGAGTACTGCCTAGGAAAAAATAATATTGTATTTGAAAGATTTAATTTTCTTAAATACAATCGCCAACACGGACAGTCACTAGAAAACTTCATTACACAATTAAAATTATTAGCAGCATGGTGTGAGTATGGGCAACTCACAGACTCTATCATAAGAGATCAAATTATTATTAATACTTCAGATGTAGTACTCCAAGAACAATTAATCAATAAGTCTGATTTATCATTAGAAAAAACTATAGAAATCCTTAAACAATCAGAAAATGTTAAACATCAAATTGAAATAATAAACAAAGGGGAAAAAGAAGAGTCAGAATATTCCCATGTATAATATGTCACAATAATAAAGTGTGGTTACCGGGGAAGGTCATAGCTAAGGCAAATGCACCCAGATCATACTTTGTTGAAAACAATAATGGTAAAATTATCAGAAGAAATAGTAAACACTTAAAAAATACTAAAAATAATGTAACAGGAAACAGTATAATGAGGGAAACATAGGGGAGGAATCAAAAGCGATAAATAAGTCTAACAAAAGTGTCTCTGTGAAAGAAGAATTAACCAGACCCATAAGAAAAAAAAAAGTACCTAACAGATTTAAAGATTTTGTAATGTAAATTAGCATAAACCATAAACCATTAAAGCCAATGTAACCTATTATATTATACCTATCAAACTGTTCTATTATTATGATCATTATATTATGTGTTGTATTATTATTATCATCATTATCAAACTGTATTACTAATAATTTTGTATTATAATATTAAATACTAATATTGTATTCAATTATATTTGTAAAAAAAAAGAGAGATGTTATAGTTATCAACACTGACATTATTATTATGTTTTCATAATAAATACACCGTCAAGGTGTCAACTGCCATGTTGCTCGGTATCTTTGTATCATCGCATTTTGTAAATTGTCTATTATAATAAAACCACATAAAACAATTTTAATTTTCAATTTTGTGTGTTTTCAATGAAATTAAATCAGATTTCAGTTATGAGTTCATGATAAATGATTATGTAATTTAAAAATAGTGATATTGTATTAGTTATAAACTTATAACATGTAGGTAACTATAGACTTATTGTGTTATAATATGCAATATTTATGGCTTTGTAAGTAAATTAGTAGACATCAAACAGTATTTTTAATAGTTAATAAAATAAAATAAATTGATAATATAATATTAGCACCTATATCAAAAAATATAAAAATATCAATATAATATCTGACTAATGTATTTTGCATCTTGTATATTTTTCACAATCACAATATGTGCAGGTCTTGTATCTTGCATCTAGAATTCTAGATTCTAGATACACTATAATAAATGCATGTTTTATCTTATTTTTTTTTTAGTATTATTCCTAACTTTGTAGGTAGTACTATATACTTATTTTTAAATGATTAACTCATCGTTACTTACTTTTAACATGAGATCAGATATATCGTCCAAAGGTATTTTGATCGTGGGAATATTTTTAAGAATATAATATAAATTTGTGTTGTGTGGGAATTGCATTCTTGAAAGTGCCATTAACGAATTCGTCCACCTAGTTCTCAAGTCAGAATCGTTGGAGTGTTTACTGAAAATAAACAAAATGGGCTTTTTCATCAAAATATTTAGCACCTATTCCTCGTGGTCTGTTCTAAAAGGTGTGCTACGCAATCAATGTTTTAAACTTAATATCATGATCATACCATAGTATATCCTTATACTTCATAGCATAAATAATAATAGGTAGATACTACATACTTCTATGCACATACCTACGCAGTAGTATACCTATATAACATGGTTGGTACCTATGTGGCTATGTTATTTTGGAAAGAACATGATTTTATACAGTCCTTATTAGCGAACGGAATTGTGTACATTTTAAGCCTTTAAGCCTAAGGCACATGATTTTGTACGTTTTGGACAYAAAACCTAAGATTTTAGTTCAATGTTTTCAGATTTCAATAACATTACGTAGAACGTAGGTTGATATTTGACGTTTGACTTAGGCATAGGCACAACTAAGGTCAATTTTTTAGGGGGGCTAGAATTGTATAAGTCACACTAACCCGCAGGGGCTTCACCCCACACCCACAAAAGCTTATAAACCGGATGTCTACTGACAAATAAATAAATTCATATGATATTATGATATTACATTATTTTAATTAAGTTAATATTCAATAAAGTGCTAATTTTCTATTAGCTGYGCCAAATTTATCAATAATTGTTTTTGTCTCCAAACTATTTGTTAGATCCCTTTCAATATTTWTTATTGATAAATTTGAAAATCGCTCTTGTGTCATTGTCGTCCTTTGTCATGTTTTTAATCTACGCATAGAAGAAAACGAACATTCGCACGTTGCGGAACTAACAGGTATTGTGAAAGCTACCTGTTTCAATTTATATAAATTAGGGTACACATCTTCAGTAACCACTTGTTTAATATCATGAATATCAAAGTTCTCATTAACTCTAGTCAGGCAGTTTTTGGCAAYAAGCATCTCTGACTTCAGAAAATCTTTTGACGTATGTGTTACATCCTTAATATAAATGTTAGCTGATAAGTGACAACTAGGTGACAACAAATATAATCAGTGTGACTGTAATGCCTTTAACTCGTGTATATTTTTTTTATGGAATGTGCAACCTGGATAATAACTGAAATAATAATAATTTCAGGTTTTTTTTTGATTCAAAAAAAAAAAATTTCCAATTTTATTTCTATGACGAATAAAAAATTCGTAAGTCATGGCTTTATTTGGGGGGCTTAGCCCCCCCCCCTCAGCCCCCACCTAATTGCGCCTATGGGCACTTAGGTAGTTAAAGTACATTGTACATTGTACCTACTTCATTAAATATCTCCCAAGTTGACAAAGCTTGGATACCTAGCTATGCTGTTTTAGTTTGTTTTACTAGGTTCATTATTATATTCATTTTAATAATTTATTTTAAATAGAAATATTTTATTGTATTAAATTATTAAAATAATTTTGTATTCTTTTCATTTATTAATTTATATAATAAATTGTATTAGTTGGTATTTATTCAATTATTTGATCATTATTATTTTAATTTATAGTATAAAAATTATTTTGTATTCAGTTTTAATAATAATAATAGAAGCGAACGAATTTGTATGTAGATTTCAATGGGTGTAATACATTTCTTGCCCTTACGGAGTGGGGGTAATGAACTATTCAAACGGCTCGTTTTTTCAGTGTAGCCGTAATAAGAAGTAATCACTCCAGTTATTCTTTATCTCGATGCGTACAGGTACAACCACCGGTTGACTCACAATGACAGATCAAAATAGTGTACAACAGTATATTTTAAGTTATTTTTTCACAATGCTGGTCGACAATAGACTAATGCGACGCTCTAGCCGGCGGCGTTGTTCTAGTATTGGGTTTTGACCGTTTTGAATGAAACCACGCCCATGCGCAGTAGTCGGCCGCCGACTGTGTTTCTTATTCTGAATAGAGTATATATTATATAAATATTAAATAAATACCAAACCTATTATATTATTGAAAATAATTGATAATAAAACAATAAAAGGTTTTTGCATAGAAAATCGTACTTACTTATCTTTGGGATAATTTTAACAATCAATTGTTTGATCAACGTCGAACGTATGTAATTGCTTTTCCAAAAACTAAAAAGGCGTGGAACGAATAGGACTAACGTGCTTAAATCGCACTTTACCGATTATTTGTTCTAGTCTTGTTTAAAATAATGTACATTTTTTAGAAGTACCTACGGGGTTTGGGGGATAAGTTCCCCTAGACTCGTTCGTCCAGTATAATATCCAACCAATATGATAATTTTTCACATGTAATTCTTTAATTTTTCACAGATTATTGATATTTATTTTTCAGTATTTTTAGATAGGTAAGTTGACAAGTGGGTATCACTTAATAAAAAACCTATTTAACTATTAGGTAGGTAACTAAATATTTAATATAGTGTACCTTTCAGAAAAGATGTAAAACTTTAAACTTGGATAGATATATTTAATAAATATTAACTGTATAATTGTATTTATAGTATCTTGTATATTCTCTTTTTAGATTCTAAGCGGAGCATCTAATATATTGATTTTACAATAATGTATTTTTATTTTTTGTATGTGTCTGTTATTGGGGCAACACAATTGATTTTATTTTCTACTTACCTAAGCATATTTTCTGGTACAAAATGTTAATTAAGTAGTTATTTTGGAAGGTTAAAAGTAAATATAACACAGTATTTACAGTAGTATTCAAAAGCGTTTGATAAAATTTAAAAAAAAAAATAAGAAAAACGTGGATATATTTATGCAAAATCTGCAGTTATTGACAAAATTGATTTTGATTTTTAGTTTTAATTCTATACAAAATAAATCTCAGATACAGATTATGGAATATTTGCATTTTCTATTCACCATGAAATTTTCAAAATATTTTTATTTTTTCTTAGCTATTTTTAGGCTATAAGATTTCGATTTTTATTTAAAAATGATTGTTGATAAAAACTACTTACTCTGCAAAAAACTTGAAAATGTAATACAAGATATTATTCAAGTTTTTAATGGCAATTTAAAAAAAATTTGCGTACATCAACAATAGTTAAAATTTTAACAAGATTCACAAGGTTCGGTATAAATGATATAAATCAAAGGTTTGAAAATGTAACGCAAGATACACGATGTATACTATACTAGTACACATATACTAGATTTGAAAAAAAAATTAAGTTTATCAGAAAGTAAAATAAAAATTGTATGAGCATTTAAAATTTAGACATTGGACTTTCACCCSTAAATTAACTTATTCTCTTAAAAAGATTTCTTATTTTGTTGAAATGTATAAACTATTATTTGTAGCCTTGTAGGTATACTTGAAATGTTCACAAAATGTTTATATTATAATGAATTTCTTTACATGATATTTAACTTAATTTTTAATTTTTTGTCTATGAATGTCATTAAAATTGTATTCACTGGATACATGGTTCAAAAAATTTAACAATTGAATAAAAAGATTCTTATTAATAGTTATAATAGCAGTTGAGAAAATATAAAAGATTCATGGGCATTTTTTTTGTCATAAGTATTAAAATTCAAATTTTGACAAAATTTATCAAAATCTTAAAAATTATTTTGTTGTAAAAAATTTATAAAATGTTCAATTTTTATAGCCTAAGATTTAAAATTCAATAGAATATTATAGTTAATAGTCAATATTTACCGTAATCAAAAACTATAGATATTATTAAATTTCATATTTTTAAATGTAAATTTTTTGGAAAAAATGAATATAACCTACTATGGTAGTTTGACTAATGTCAAATAGTAAAATAAATTACTTTAATAGGAATAATATAAAATAAATGTCTTATAGTTTAACAGCTAAGTTTGATCTTCTTTATTTAGAATTTTATTGTTTTTGATTTATTTGATCATATTATCCAATATTCATAGTGTAAGTTCCACAAGACATCTAATGCCTTAATGAATTAAAAAGCGTTACCCACTAGCCACTTGCCTACTTAATATTTTTTTGCTAAGATACAATAAAACAGATACAGATTATTAATTTGAGGTAGGTAAATCACTCTATGAGCATGGAATAGGGTATCCGAAATTCTGGTTTCTAATGCTTAAATATTTTATAGGTAGCTTAATTTATAATTTTAAAATATTAAATAATATAATTAAGTTTAGTGTTATAATTTGGGTTATTTAATTGTTCCAAAAATTGTACCTAAAGTTATAATCACTTCTTGATACGTCTTCACAAAACTACAGCATGTAAACCTTCATCAGCTTATTATTGATAATTTGATATAGGTAATATTATTCATTACCCAACTATTGAAAAAATGCAATACCTATTATCATTTAATACAATATTTTACATTAAATTATTATAAACATTTAAGTATATATAATGTAGGTAACTAATATTACATGTTTACATGATAATAAATTAATTTTTAATATATTAAATTATCAACAGTCATGCTGAATTTATGTTTATTCAAGGAGTTATAAAATATAAAAAGTATGTAATGTAAATTGGTAACCATGGAAATTCAGAAGTATACAAATGGCATATACAGAGTGATCCATTCATTGTAAGATGCTCATTAATTTAGAAAACAATAGCTTTTGAGAATATTTATTTTACACAATTGTTAATCATTACTCAGCAAACATTTTAGAAAAAATTACTTTTTATCAGTATAATTTTTTGTTTTTTACTCTTGAAATACAACATATTTACATATTGTATTTTATATTTTGAAACAAAATATTATTTGAAGTATTTTTATCTATAAATATCAAATTTTGAATGAATGAGTTATTTTTTAAAGTATTTGGTGTAAATGAAGAGAGAAGTGGACCAACATTTTGAGGGGTATCCATTTTCTACTCCATTCATCTAAACATTAAATTTTAATACCTAGTTACTATAATCATAAACTATTAGTCCAAAATACAATTTTTATAAATTGATTAGGTATCACAGAAAATATTCTGCTTTGAAATAAGGAATTAATATATATATTTTCATGAAAAAAAATTTTTTTAAAAGATATATTGTTTTTGACATTTTTTTAACAATTGAAAATTACTTTTCAAAAGTATTTTCAAAAATTCTTAACGTGTTTTGAACTAATGTATTAAATCAAATAGTAATAATATGTAACAAGTTAAAATGTATTTAATAATATTCAATTGATTATAAGTAGAAAAAATTGTAATTGTAAATTTAAAATATGCATATTGTTTCATGTTCATTTAAGTACAATAATACAAAAATAATTTAAATGTATGATAAAACACCATAAARTTATGATAATTGCAAGAAGTTATTCTGACCACAATAATTTCAAAAATAGATGGGCAAAATACAGAATTTATCCTCGATAAGTAATTAGTTAACATGCAAATAGGTAGCTTTAAAAAAACGACTTTCAGTTGAACTTAGTTTATATTTAAGTATCTGACGTGCTTTTTTTCATCGTTATTGGATGGTTCTATCTCTTTATACATAATACAACTTCTGAGAAAGTCAAAAGTGATTTTTTTAAATATTCTGATATTTCTTTATTCAAAGATGTGTCATACATGAGATATAACTATAATAGGGATTATTTTTTTTTCCAAACCAATAGATTATTTCAATCCCAACTGAAGCTATTTAATAGTCTTTAAAATATAATTTTTCCACAATTCTGATTTACACTTTTTTTTTAACAGCTGAAATGAACTATTTTCAAGCTTCATTTTGCAAAAATAATTTCTATTTTACGTATTTCAAAAATAATAAAACTAAATTAACTGTTAATACTTAAGCACTAATTTGAGAGCCTTTGAATATATGATTTTGCTGATAGGACAAATAGTAACAGCAGGAAAATCAATCTTGGTGAGTGGATAATGAGGATCATCAACAGCGATTTCCATTGAAGAGTAAGAATACTTCTCCCAAGATGCTGAAACCAAAACTACTATAGCTATGCTTGCGACAATCAGCAACAGTATCCACATTAATCTGTATGTATAATTTTAAATAATTTTATACCCTCTAAAATATTAGTTGAATATTAAATCAGTCACATCAGTATTAGTAACTAAATATTACCTCTTCCATGGTGTTTCGTTTTTCTGAATAATGTGCCTCAACCCATGTATTGAACCATTTTCACAGTAGTCAACCCAAATAGATTTTAGGGTCATGATAAAAACAATATTAGAATATTGTTACACAATATCATACATTATTTTATTTGAAGTTAAAAATGTATTACACACACTACACACTAGATAAGTGTTAAATGTTGGGGATTCTAACAAAATATAAATGCGAAATATCAATAATTAAATATTTATGGAAGGGTTGCGAGAGAGATGACATCATTCGATAAGGAATGTAAACAGTTTATACTCAAAAGAAATGGGCAATATTAAAAAAAAATTAATAAAAAACGGTTATATTGTGTAATGTGTATACAACAAAAAGAAAATGCAAACATAATTTTTAAAAATATTAAGAATTCATTAACTAAGAGAACCATGGCCAATATTTTAGAATCTATAGTTTATACTGTACTTCAAGAACTATTGTCGTTGCCAAATAAATGTTTGGTTGGTGACTCTACCTCCTGGTATTTTTAGGAAAGGTTCACAATCCAAAAGAGTATGAATATATTAAATATAATATAGTATGACCTTATAGTAAACAAAGTAGACTGGTAAATATTTGATTGATTTAAAGGTTTGAGATTAAAAATAAAGAGGAAGTATGAGAATAGGTTACTTTGTTTTTAAACATCTCAACAACAACTGTTGCCACTTGGTTTAACAACCACACACACATTTGGCAACTTCTATCTGACTAATGATTAACAAACCGATCAAATTAATTTTAATTTAAAAAAGGTTATCAATTATTATATTTTAATATAATATCAATGTTTATGAATAAGAAAAATATTTAAGAAATTAAAGCTTATATTTTGCTAAACTAAGGTTGAGGTTCATCATCATGATATCCATTGTGTGGTGGCGGTTGTCCTTCGTTTTGAGCATTCTGAAATTGCATCCGTAATCCATCTAACAGATTGGGATTGGCTGTTTGCAGACGAGTAACTATAGTTTGTCCACTGCAAAACAAGATATTAATCATAGATACTTACATTTAAATAACTTAAGTAAATATGATTATCTTTAAAGCTTAAATTCATAGTTTTTAGCTTTTTGATATTGAATAAGTAATTTTAAATAGTAATTTAATTCAAATATTGCAAACATAAAATGACACAATTATAATAATAATTAATATTTATTTATAATAATTAAAAATGTACTCACACTTGCATTAATCTATCTAGTCCATCACTGCCAGTACTAGTTACATCTCCTAAAATATTGCTTAACCTATAAAAGAATTACAGTAATATTTTTTAATTCTTAAATATTGGTATTTAGCAAAAAATCAAAAATCCAGTAAAAATTATGGCATACACTGATGACACATCTGGATTATCAGTCATAATACGTGCAGCAGTTTCCATTAAATTTGGAGTAGCTGTGATAGGATCATTTGGCGATTGTGATGGTGTTCCAGAAACTGTTTGCAAGTTATTCAATGTAAGCTGATAGTTCCGTTGATAACCCTGGTTATCGGGATCTAATTCACATGCTTTTTTGTAACATGACGCTGCTTTATCATAATCTTTCAGGTAAGAAAAAGCTAATCTATAAAATAAAATATAAAACACATAATATTATAAAGGAATTAATTTTTTACCAAGCAAAAAATTAAATAATAATTCTAATATTTTATAATGAGAGGTCTTCATATTTCATAATAACCTTATAACAAAATATATCTTTAACATGAATTTAAATAAATATAAATAAATAATTTACCAATTAACATATTAAATTAATAGATATTAACTTCTTTTAAGCTTAAAATAATTTAAAGTGATTAATAACTGAAAATTACAGTATAATACATGTAATTATGATACAAACTATTTAAGTTTAATTTTCAAAATTGGTAAAATATCATTGTACGAGTAGTGTAATATAATATACTAATATTATAATGATATTATATTAAAACATTACACCTAATTAAATAAAATTTGATGTAGTTTTTAAATGTTGTCATAATAATAATTGTCCACTGAATATTAATTATAAACTAAAATCAATTATTAAAAACAAGAATTATAATCACCCCAAACGACAATATGCCTTGCAATATGTTGAGTCAAGTTCAATCGCTTTCTGGCAATCCTGAATAGCATTAATATACTTGCCAATAGCATTAAAGGCAGCAGCTCTGTTGCAATAATAAATTGGATTCAATGGATTTAATTTAATTGCTCTGAAATTTAAATAATTATAACAATTAATAATTGCATTTGATTAGAAATAAGTGTTAAAAAAATGTGTAGGGAATGTAGTGTTAATATGCGTTATATATAGGACCTGGATTTCAATACAAAGTGCATTTTTTTTTTTGGTAAATCATAGATAATGCTTTTCAAGCACGTAATTAGTTTCATGTAACAAGTGTTTCAAAGTTAAAATTTTATTTAAAACTTTTTACATATTTTGGGCCATTTTTATGGGTTCTAATGCATATTTGTTCATTATACTATAGAAATTTAGCGTAATTATTAATATATATTTTAGTATCTATATTTAGAATAGATAATATTGCCCTAAAAAATATGAGTATCAACAACACAGCAGCATCAAGTCAACTTTTCCTATTTTTACTTATTTTTTTAATAAAATAATAAATAATAAATATATTTTAATATTAAATTCCAAATTGTATAAAAAAATATATAAATGTCATTTTTGGCTATTTTTTAGAGAATATTTCTATGGTTTTAGTGCATTTAAATCCAGGCCCTAATTATATATAATAATAGTTGATATTTTAAGTAGTATACTTTTGCATAAAAGCTAACACTCTTTGAATTCTTATTTTTGTATTAAAAGTTATAAGTAATAAAATTGTGTTTAATTTATGTAACTTGACAAATAACTATTAGTTTTGACAGTTAGAATTTAACAATAATGTATTTATTTTATTATTTAAATTATTTTTGTAAATTATGTACTACAATAAAACAAAACTGATATAGTATTGTTTTAGTTAAAATTAAAAGGATTTCAACACACTTTTTTTTTTCTCTCTCTGGCCCATGCTCAACATAGACAAAACACATTGATGTAGAATCATTTTTTCCAAGTTTGTAAGTAATCTTTGAGTAAAATTGACATATTTGTATTGTTAATTGAACCGMGATCTATATAGTATTATTGTCGAGCCATAATAATTGATACTTAAAGCTAATAAAAAAATAAAATGACATTGATATTATACTATATTTTTGTTTGATTTTGTATTCGTTTATCAAAATAAGCACCAAAATGCTGTAAATTTAAATTATGTTTGTATTGTTTGGAGACAATTTTAGACAAATCAATAAGTCATTTCCACAAAAGTGTTATTTTCTATATTTTTTGAAACAGGTGACTTGATTCTAAGATAACTTAAAAACATGGAAACAATGATTTTACTTAAATGTATTTTGTCTAAATTGATAGCGGGCCAGAGAGAAAAAACAAATAATGCACTGACATCCTCTTAAGAGTGACCATAAGARCATTAAAAATAAAAAACAAACAATGTTTTCAATTAACATTCTAAGTTGCAATATCTTTTCTATTCTTAAAAAAAACATAATATTATAAAGTATTAATCATGGAGTTTAATAACTTTATGTTTTTATTTTAACATACATAGTGTAGGCTTCAATAGCCTTATCATTATTTTGCATTTTCATGTACTCATTCCCAAATTTCTTATGATTTTCAGCTTCTTCTTTATGTGCTTGACTTATTTCTGCCTTTTGGATTGGCTATAATAAAATAATAATATACATATATATATATATATATATTTAAATTAATATAATTAATATGATTATCAAAAAAATAAATATTTTATTAAAACACTTAAATCCATGCTACATTAAATAAATAATATAGTGTTGATAAATTGAATGCAAGAAAATAATCTTTATGTTGATTTAATCTCATATATATAATTTACCTTTTGTTCTCTAACTTGATAATATTCTTTCACAATGCTTTCCAATTTAACCTCAACATTATCAGATTCAGTTGGATTTAAACTATATGCTGACTCAATGCACTGAACTGCTACTTCCATACTTTCCAACGATTCATCATTGAAGCTATCATTACTTAGTTGGGTTTTCAAATGATTTACAATAAGAAGAGCAATTTTTTTTTTGTCTTCCATCTGTTAAAAATCAACATTAATGATAGAAATAATTAATAAAATAAATTGGTACCTAATTATTACATATATGTATTCATGCACTGTAATGTAATGTTAGTAACTAGTAACTATTTATACCATAGCTATGCTTATAATTTTTAATTTAAATAATCAAGTATTTATGGTATCATAAATGTTTATTAAATATTTAAACTTATTTTCATGATATCTATTTTGACATCTTAATATTAGGTATAATATTTATTTATTATAATTATTATACTATACACTGATATAGACTCAAAAATGCATTTAAACATTTTATTTTTCACCTTGTAATTTAAGTAATAAGTCTAGTAATAGTATAAGTCAAATATAACTAATATTTCTTCRATAAAATTTATAAGTTTTGTTGACCAGAGAAAATCATCTGTAAAGCAATATGCGTTTTAACTAATKCCAGTATTGCACAATACTCAAAAAATCTACCATACTAACACCTGACTTCACTTGTTAGCCTAAAAAGTAAGCTTCCCTGTTACCCATTAAAATTTTGAATGTGGGCATTCACAATCCAGAATATTTCTTCACCCTGGTGTAGATCACACATTATCATGTGATGACATCTGTGGGAATCGGGAGTATTTAAAATCAAGGTAATACACCTATGATTTGTAGAAAAAATTGAAATATCCGCAGATTTCAAATGGTTAAATCTTTTGATCAAGTCTGAACAACAATTTGGGATTGCAGTATTGAAAACGCAGTTTAAATAAAAGAAAATAATACCTTAATAACATACATTTTATCTCGAAATGACTGACCTTAAAACATTTACACAACAACAGCAAATTTAATGTATACATAATGGCGTCATTCACACGACATGTACACCACCTTTAAAATTCAATTCAACATACCTTAAATGATGGATTAATCGATAACTCCTATTAAACTATTACAACAATAGGAAGTGTTGTTTAACCGTTCAGATGTCCTCCGTTGTTATAAATATTATATCAGAATTCTATTGACACTTGACATAACTTCGTCGACGGCAACAACAAAAGTGTCCAAACGGCCAACACTAGGACATGACATAAGAGCCCCAAAATAAGTGAACAGTCATGACTCGTTACTTAAGTGATATAGCTATGATAACGAGTTGGTTATTGGGTAAGTTCAGTGATGTATTTGATTGGACATAAAAATAATAGTAATAATAATACTTTTATAGCGATCGACAAACGTTGTTCGACCACGTATAACCACGACCAATTTGATCTGAAGTAGTCGCCATGATAATTGGTCGCCGAAGGGATACCGAAACATTATCACTGGATCTTATCAGACTGTTTTGACGATAAACACAAATACGAAACGACAGAATTTCACGAAACACGCTGTGCCCGTGATAATGATAAACATTTCTTCAACATCCACAACCACAATCCACATGGTCGGCTGTCGGCTCTGATGATTCAGAATTTGTGAGTAAACAAATTTTCGTTGCCTGCGCTGTTCTGACTAGAAAGTTGAAATACTAGTGCTAACGATCGCATCTAAACTGAAACTTTGATTGTCTAGTAAGTACTGAACGTGTTCATTCCTTAATTTTAATTGTGATGGACTTCACATCATATGTTTAGACTTGTAGATACTTACAGTCTATACAGGTACCTATGATCTAACCATTAAAGTATGTAGAAACTATTCTATTGACCGTTTTTGGGATAATTTGTTTGCTTTGTATTGTTTTGGTATTGAGTTTTGCATTCAAAATGTGCTCTGCAGTAACGACAATCATACATTTAGTATCACTACTTCATTCCATTCAGATGCTGTTTGTCCGTTTTTTTTTGGCATAAATTATAGTAAGATAATTTGAATTGACACTATATGTAACTAGTCAAGTAATTTTGCATTAATTAACCTGGTATTTTAAGTTACAAAATACTTAGGTGTACGAGTTCAATCACCTAGATCAGTGGTGGCCAAACTTTTTTTACCTTAGGCCAAAAATTTGTTTTTTACTTCTAAGTCATCAGAAATTTAGGTATAGGTATATAATTTAATATTAATGTACTAGTAACATAATTGTAGTTTCTATAGCCATGGTGATCGTATGAAAATAAGAAAAGATACGGTAATGCTATTTATATTATTAAATGACATTGTAACAACAAAATCGCTACGATATTGCGATACGGGATTAAATATGAAGAATGTATACTGTATTTTTAATTTTTTTTTACGTAAATGGAAAATATTATACTCAAGTTTTCAAACAAAATCATGTTTTTTATATAGCACTAACCGCTTATTGAACTCCATAGAGCTATACTTTAACTAAAACTTCTGACCAAATATGAACATTAGTTCAAGTTACTTAATTATTTTTTGTCTGTGATAAATTCCGGCAAAATAAAATAGTATGGTTTTGATACCAACAAAATTAACAATATATAACGTCTTCAAACGTATAAAGAACAATTAATTTGAATAGACGTTTAATTGATGTACTTTTTTCAAAATACAAAATTAGTTTTTTAATTTATGATTTTGGTTCATTTTTTGGTAGATAGATTCTAGAATAAGTAAATAAGTATTAAAAGAAAAAATTAAAGAATAAGAATTCTTAGATTTTAGAATAAGAATTAGTAATAATCCTGTGATCAAATGAATTAGTTTACAAATAAATATCGTTGATTTCTAAAAAATCCAAATTTGGGCAATAGTTTGTTCTACCTATCTGCTAACATGACGTATTCACATTAGATATTGTATACATTATACAACTTACAGTTTATTTAGACTATTTTATAACTAATATAACACTGTAATATTAAATTCTTCTTCTTCTTCTGGCATTTCTACTCTCTAAGAGTTTTTGCCGCCATTACTACACTTCGCCACCTATCTCTGGCTTGGGCTTTCTCTCTCCAATCTTCAACTCCAAGTGTTTTTAAATCTTCTTCTACCACGTCAATCCATCTTTTCCTAGGCCTACCTGGCTACCTCTAGGTCTTTTCCCATGTGGTTTCCATTCCAATGCTACTCTGACTACTTCGTTCTCTCTTCTTCTCACTATGTGACCTAACCATTGTATTCTTTGGCTCTTAATAAAGTTTGTTAATAAATTAATAATTAAATTAAATTTCCGAATTTGCTTATTACTCATGAGTTATATGTTGATTACTAATTCAATAATTCATTATAATATTAAAATTAATAATTTGAAGAAATACATATTGTGTATAATAATAAAATCATAAAAATAAATATTTTTATGTCTATTTGGTATAAATATTATTATGAAATGTTATTAATAAATGTTCGTGATGTGAAATCGTCACACGTAAACAAAAGTACCTACTATACATTTTAATTTTAAGTCCAAACGCTCAATAATTAAACTGGTATTTATACAGACATGTCAGTCTAAGATATATTATATTAACTATATTTAAATTATAATATATTTTATGTGCTCACAAAATGTTTTCTATATTGAATCTATAGTTTATTTTACAGTTATTTGAAGAAAAAATTATGGAGAACTAACCTTATTTTGGGTTTCTTAAACTCAGATATAAATCACAATAAATTTATGAATTTTCAACTTCATGATTCCATGTAAATTTTCACGATTTTGACATATTTTATAAACATTTAAATTTTAAAGGCTTATAAACAAATATTGTGGTCAACGATTTTTTATTTTTTTTTACTACGATAAGTACAACTTATAATAAACCTTGTATTACATTTTTAAGATATTTTGGACACCTGCATTTTTTTTTAGGCATTTCAAAAAAAAACTTAGAAAAATCAAAAATTTAAATTGTCTATAAATAGCTTAAAAAAAGTCAAACAATTTTGAAAATTTTACTGTAAATAGCTAACGCTATTATAAACATTGGGTTTCAAGTATTTACAATGATTTGTTTTTAATTTACTGTGAAATAAAAAATTGATTTTGTCAAAAACTGATAGTAATTGGTAATAGGTATCAAGGACCAGAACTTTTGAATATGAATTCAGTAATAAATTAAAGTCTACATTAAAGGCTCAAAACACTGAAAAAAATTCTGAGCTAAGTCTGTCCTTAAGTTATACATTTTTTATCCATATTCGTTAAGAATAGAGCATACTCCGCAGAGATTTATCAAAATAGTTATATAGCTCCAAATAACATATAGGCATTCTTATAAAAATTTAGTTTATTTTATTAGTCATTAATGCTGTAATGCTGTATCGAAAACGTGATTTTGTATTATGTGACTTGAGAATTAAGAATTATAGGTACATTTTATTCAATAAAATATAAATATGATATAATATAATACAGAGTGATTTTTCTATCATGAACCACTCATTATTTCAAAAAGTATCAGTTTTTGAAAATATTTTTTTACAAAGTTCCATCTTGTTAAAAAAAACAACGTTTTTATTAAAAAATTATTTTTTTAAATATTTTTTATCCTTATAATTTTTTAATTTTTTTACTTTTTTGAATGACAACCTAGTTTTAATTTCATATTCCAAAGCAGAATATTTTTCTAAGTATTTTGATACGTAAAAATCGAATTTTGGAYGAGTARTYTATGAGTTATAAGTATTTTAAGTTTAGACAAGCGGAGTAGTGGACAAACATTTGCGGGGTAACCACGTACCACTCCACTCCGCCAATCTAAACTTTAAATACTTATAACTCATAGTCTATTCGTCCAAAATTCGATTTTTACGTATCAAAATACTTAGAAAAATATTCTGCTTAGGAATATGAAATTAAAACTCAATAGGTTGTCATTCAAAAAAGTAAAAAAACTTAAAAAATTATAAGGATAAAAAATATTAAAAAACATGCTTATCAAGTGCTTGTAATGAAGTCTTAAAGTGTTTTTAAGCACTTATTTTAATGATTTTAAGTACTTTTTAGTCCCAAGCACTGATAATCAATTAATATAGTGATGAAAAAGTTAAGTTTTCATTAGTAGTATTTATATTCTATTATAATATTATAGTGCTGTTGATATGATTTGCAGTAGTTGTAATCTGTATTATAATTTGTAGTTTGTTACTTATAAGTTATAAGTAGAACAGATTTTAAAGTAAATACATATTTTTATGTGCCGTCTCCATTTCATTAACGTTAAAAGTACCAAATCTTTCTTGTGTTAAGTAAAATCTATGTTATTTTAAATATTAGAGTGAATTAACCTATTATCACATTTAAAACAAAGTATATTATTTTGGGAGTTTTTTTTTTTATGTTTTAATGGTGTTAATAACTTGATCCAAAATAAGAACATCAAGAAAATTTAGGTAAATGTATGCCTTTAATATTTGATAATAGGTTAATTTACATTAGTATTGTAAATTACAGAATTAAATGGATTCTTAGATGATACCTTAATGTGAATATACACAAACAACCTTTTTTTTTACTATAATATGTATACAAATTATAAACAATCTTTTCTCCAACTGTTTATGCATATGAAAAAAAAAAAAATAACTGAATAATATGTAAATATTTTCAGAATTATTTATAGTTATTTCGCTTTATTTTCATAATTTTTGTATGAAAATTTGAAAAAGAAAAATTAGTTACATACCTTGTTTTAAGAAAAAAAAAATACTATTTTTACGAACTTTATGATTTAATGAATTAATATTTTATTATTTTTCAGTTTTTTGTGTTTTATTTAAAAAAAAAATGACAATGAAACGAACTTCGTCTACTAAAAATAGTATTAAAAAAAAACCAAAAATACTAAATACTGAAGATACAATCGACTATACTAAATCATTAACATCTGAAGATATTGAAACAGTTGAATCGGGATTTAAAGAATTAGATATTGCTGAAAACATTGGGAAAATAAAAACTAATAAAAAAAAAATTCCAGCCATCGAGAAAACAGAACAAAATTCTGAAAAAGGAAATAAATCATTTAAGAAAATTAAAGGAAAACCTAAAAGTACAAATGGTGAGCATATTTTAATTAGTACATAGATCATTTTTTTTTTAAAACTTAACATGTATTTTTATATTTTACAGATGATAAGCCTACTGAAAAACCTAATTGGAAAGAGTTTAAAAAAGAAAAACAAGAACTTCGACTTAAACGTAAGACACAAAAATGTCCATTTTATGAAGCTGTTATGAAAGCTAAAAAACTTTGGGAAACTGTGCGCCGTGATGATTGTCCTAAGGAAAAAAGAGAAGCCTTAATGAA